TTCTTTAGAAATAGTACTCTTTTAATTTATTATATAAGAACCATGCAGACTGCTCTTTCAATAATCTTAAGCTTTCTTAAAGAAGCATAAAACATGAGATTTTTTTTTAATCCCCAAAGAATACTTGAATAAACTGTTTAAATTACTTTCCTTCAATAAGATTTTATACAAAACATGTAGAGTTTTTACATTCTAAATCGGTTTATACCAAAGCATCTAAATTGTAACATCCTAATTTGTTAGTTTGGTCTGTATGTTATATAAGCCACACTTAAATCATTGCTTAATTTCCAACTTTATTTTCATACAGTTCTTTTTTCCCTTTTAAGTTGTGATCACATTTGTGACTTTATCATTTCCTAACAGTGTGAATTTAAGGAAATATATAGTAATTTAAAGAACTGGATTAAATCCTCTTTGAACATTAGAGCCAGGAAAAGGTTATGATGACTTTGAGCCTGAAGTAAAACATGTAACTCTTTGATTTTGGATATAGCTATTAAGATTTATTTTCTTCTAGCTTATCTGTCTCAGAATTGCCCTTATTAAAGCTGGAGATTTGGCAATTTCCAGAAGTTCCTTTGTATCCTATCTGGTTTTTGTCTACATTTGCTTTGACTTTTACAAGCTTAATACTAAACTTATAAATTGTGGTTCCTGTCTAGGAAATGAGCAAACTGCAGAATAGTACTACATGCACTCATGGAAATGACATAAGACACTTGTAGTTATCAGAAACTCCCTGGCAGCTAATGCCCACAGGCTCTACAAAGGAAATAAACTTTTTAGTTTTGAAATAACGGGACTACCTTTTGTTATAGGCCAACCTTTCATCATTACTTTAAATCGATGAACATGTACAAAGGAGAGAAGCAGTCCTTTAAGTTTTGTAAATAGTCCTTTAAGTTTTGTAAGGCCAAGTACTGTCCTTGATTTTAGACAATGTCATTAACAACACTTTATGAATAGGGAAAGAGAAGCATGAGCAGCCATTGTGTATATAACCATCTGTGTTTCTCTACGTGCAGGATTGAGGTGACTGGGAACTGGGAAATAGGAAGGAGGGGGTTAGTTCTCACTGTGCTGTGTATGCGTTTGCATTTATTTACATTACATCGAAGATATTTTTGACTTGAAGAGTCCCTAACACTTTGCTATATGTCATATGTAACTCATGTGAGCCAAGTAATCACAGCTGTATTCCGCCATATGAATATCCATGTGACTTGCCTTGAAAACGAATTCCTACTGCCTGAATATTTTGAGATCTCACTAACACTTAAAGGGAAATCTGATGAAGTTTGTAAAAAGCTGTGGTGTTTCTTTTTTCAGGTTCTGAAGAAAGTCTCCAAATACATTCAAGAGCAGAATGAGAAGATATATGCTCCACAAGGCCTCCTCCTGACAGACCCCATTGAGCGAGGACTGCGAGTTGTATCTTTTTAGTCCAGATCATAAGGTCTAAATATTATAAAAAGAAAATGTTGGTATTGTTTGGCATCAGTTAGAGAGAATTAACTCCCATCCTGTATTTGCCTTAGGAAGTTTCCGTGTGAATTGCATACCTACTGTAAACCCCCTGTCTCCAACATTTTTTTCTATTAAGGCATGTCTCTCCTTCCATTGCATGGTGCAGGTCTCTGTGGTTTGTATACTATCTGGGCACCATCTTTCCTGGTGGTTCTGAGGGCATCTTGTGGTAATAATGGGAGTGGTTTGAGTAATGCATTTCAGCTGCAGAAATCCTGAACCTGAAGCCCCTTTGAAATGGATAAACTCATAGTGTGTGGTGAGACTTGTCATCCTAATGAATTGCAGTTCCGTGGGTTCATCTGACTAGTTGAAATCAGTTATAGCTGCCAGATGTATAATTTCATTACCTTTGACATACTGTGCATATTTTTACAGGCAGTAAGCTTTGAAAATCACTATGTGATTTTGGTAAATAAAATTGCAAAAAAGTAATTTAGCTTGATAACTGGAGCAATGAGTAAATGATTATTTCAAAAAACCTAGGTCGCATAATCCCAGGCCTTCCAGCTGATAATAATTTCAGCAGTTTTATTATACTCTGCAACAATAGTTCTTTAACTTTCAGGGGTCATGAACCCTTCCTTTCCCAAGAAAAAAGTTCTCATATAATTTCAGGGCATTTAAAAATCCCTGAATTCATTACCTCCGTGGATTCTCAGTTAAGAGCCCCCTAGTTCTACAAATAAAACAGCTTTTTCAGAATTTTGTTTTGTTTTGTTTTCAAAACATAAATCATCGGTGTTTGTGAAGGAACTGCATGTGGACTACTATAAATAATTACATTTCTTAAAATTTTCAGCAAATTGAAAGCAAACTTAAGTAGGAAAAAAATTTAATAATTTAAAAATAAGCAAAGCAAACTGAAAGCAAAGTCTGTAGATCACACCATCCACCTTGCCATGTCCCCTTTATCTGTTGTGTCCTGTAGTGTGTTTTCTTAACAGCCATGCTGTTTAGATTGAAATTACCATTTATGAAGACAGAGGCATGAGCAGTGGAAGATAAACCATAGAATTAAAGGTAAATGTGAAATGATATGGCCTGTATATAGCTTTTGCAATTTTAGAGGATGCATGAATATTCTTCCCCTTATGGTAAATAAATCATTAAATCATGCAGTTAAATAGTGATGTATTTGCTGTGTTAACTTAAGCTAGTCACCGAATCAGCTTGATATTTAAAATGCTTATTCAACCCAAGTTCTATTTGGTGATAGAGAATTTAATTCTGATTTTTTTCCTGCTGTATTGTGTTCAGAATGGTTTTGTTGTTACTTTGGTGGGGGACTGAGGGATGGCGGTTACTTGGCTTGTTTTAATATTTCAAAACTATCCTAGGCATATAAATACTTGGGTTTTGCATATAAAAATCAGTTGAGAGATGTCTGCCTATATGACAGATGGCTTTAATAAGCAAAGGAACATTTCAGAGGGGAGTGGGGAGATTCTGAATATTCCATTTATTTTATTTAAGTAGCTTCAGACCCTTGCAGAAGAAATGTTACCTACTGAGTAGAAACATAAATTTCATTCCTTTGTTTAAAGTGTTAATGTCCTTAGATATTCAGATACTACCCTTTAATGAGTAAGAAACAAATTAATACTGATAATCTCTAGGCAGAGTCATGTTGAAGCCGTAAGCACTTTAGCATAGCCTTCTAAGTGACAGGAAGTAGCAGATCACTATTTCTACCAATTTCAGTTACGTGGTCTTCCTACCGAAAATGTTCTGCTGCTGTGCTTTTCCAGTTGACTGTGCTTACAGGTCTCTGTCACTAATTAATAGACAGCACAGACACAGAATGTATCAAAGCAGACATATGTCTTCCTAGGGCTACATTAATAAAAGCTATGATTTTGAGGGCACCTACTGTGTGCCTGGTATTATACAAATGATACTTCTGAATCTCACAAGAAACCTGCATAGTATTTCCCCATTTTACAGATGAGCAAACTTGACTACAAATAGATGAAATGGTGTTCTCACAGTCACACAGTTAACAAGTATTGGGATTTGAACACAAGTCTGATTGACCATTAAACCCCTGTCTTCTACACCATACTTCCTCTCAGTACTTGCAGCAGCAGGAATATGAAGAAAGGGAAGAGTTCATCAGATTATTCTAGAGGTTTATCCCCTTCTCTTGTTCAATACTTAAAAAAAAAATACACTTTGTCTGCTCCTGCATAGTTTATTCAATCCTGCAAGCCATGCAGCATTCCAGAGCTGCCGCCTTTAGCACTAGTGAATGTGTCACCTGAATTCCTGAAAGCCAAATATCTAAATCATGGTATCCTCTGCCATATGTTTTATTTCCTTAAAAAGGCTTTGTTGGCTGGGCACAGTGACTCACGCCTATAATCCCAACACTTTGTGTGGCCGAGGCGGGTGGATCATGGTCGGGAGTTCGAGAACAGCCTGACCAGCATGGTGAAACCCCATCTCTACTAAAAGTACAACTATTAGCTGGGCATGGTGGTGGGCGCCTGTAATCCCAGCTACTCAGGAGGCTGAGGCAGGAGAATTGCTTGAACCCGGGACACAGAGGTTGATTGTGCCACTGCACTTTAGCCTGAGTGACAGAGCTAGACTCCGTCTCAAAAAAAGGGCGGGGAGGGCCTTTGTTTTGGAATACTTAGTGTTGCTTGTCCATATACTTTCTCATGTACAATTTTCAAACTGATACTTCCCAAACAAACAACCAGGAACCTTCTGTGTGGCTTTTGTTCCACGCCATGGGATAAGTTTTTATATCAATTGCAGCTGTGATGACTTGGCACAGCCCATTTATTATGACTCATTTTGCAACTATTATTGTGTAATCATGTGTTGGGGTTTGAGCAATTACACACCAGAGGCTAATCTATCAATATTCAAATAACTGTGGAATTTTACAGTGGGAAAGATTTATATTAAGAACTTCTGGATACCATCTTTCAGGAATGCAGATATATTTATTCAGCACAATTTCCTTTTTGGAGTACGTGTTCCCAAGGTCCAGGATGCAGTGTGGGCTGAGATCTTGGAGAAGGGAGGGAAACTCCAAGCATAATTTATTCAGTTCTTTTTTTCTTCAGTCTGCACGTTGTCTACAATTTGAAGCAATGTATGGGAATTAGTGACTTAACAAAAGACTATGCAAGCATGAAGAGGGCCATTATTTTTAAAAAGAGCTTTAAACCAAAACACCTTTCTTTAAGCTTAATTTTTATAATATCTTGCATATATCTTTATTACATCTTTATTGTTAGATACTCTGGTTTTTTCTCTGTGAATTAAGATTTCGATGTTTATATAAAAATAGAATACATAAGGCCAGGCTCAGTGGCTTATGCCTGTAATCCCAGCACTTTGGGAGTCTGAGGCAGGCAGATCAGAAGATCAGGAGTTTGAGACCAGCCTGACCAACATGGTGAAACCCCGTCTCTACTAAAAATATTTAAAAAATTAGCCAAGCATGGTGGCACACACCTGTAATGCCAGCTACTCAGGAGGCTGAGGCAGGAGAATCGCTTGAACCCAAGAGGCGGAGGTTGCAGTGAGCCGATATTATACCACTGCACTTCAGCCTGGGTGACGGAGTGAGACTCCATCTCAAAAAAAAAGGGAATACATGATTATTCCATCACAATTAATTAGTGACAATAAAAACAGCTAATGTTTGTTGGCACATATGTGCCAGCACTATTCTAAATGCTTAATTTTAATCATCACAACAACCGTGTGAGGTAAATACTGTTATCTAGATACTGTTATCCCTGTTTTTCAGATGAGTTAGCAGAGGCAGAGAAGTTGCTGGCCCAAGGATGAACAGCTAGTAGATAGCAGTCAAGGCAGCCTGGCTCCATGGTGATGTGCTTGGTCAGAGATGTGAATGTATAGGACTTACAGATTTGTAGCCTTTTTAGCTGTAGACTCATTTAGACAAATGGTGCCAAGATATTTTAGTAGATAAAATCCTGGGCTAGTAGAACATAGAGCACATATAAGCTCATATCAGTTGATAGAAGAAAAATGGTTTTACAAGTTATCATCAACATCTCTCTCAAACCTTTACCCCTTCCTCTAATTACAGATTCCACTTCCAGCCGGGCCCCTCATGTATCCACTGGCCGACCGCAGAGTGTCCCTACCTCCTCTCCAGAGCATCATTCCTTTCTATCTGCTGCCAGAGCCACGGTGCCATTTACTCCAAGGACTCACTTTCTACAATTCCACACCTGGAGTGACCTCTCGTCACTCAGCATCCACTTTGTGTTTCCAAATTGTGTAGGACTCTGTAATCTTTTGATTAGTTCCTGGGAAAACACAATGAAGCATTTTACTTTTTTATTCAGAGCCATTTAATAAAACACGCAGTTGGTCAGCCCAGTGCAAAGCTTATTTCTTATCTGCCACCAGTATGTACCATTGGTTCTCTTCATTCCTTGGGCCAGCTTCTCAGGTGGCTTTAGACCTCAACAAGTCGTATCTTAGCCAGTGTTCCCTCTTGTTCCCCTAAATTAATAAAATGCTTTTCTCCAGGATTTTGGTGAGGGGTTGGCTGTGACTGTGGTTTTGCTAATTCATCTCCCAGATTTCAAAGAATTACCAGTTTTGCCATGACTCAAATCTTAAGATCTGTTTCTACTATTTAGTTTCTCCAACCGAAGCTCATTGAAAAAATAATGTATAATGTTATTTGTTTTATTATAGCAATTATTCCTAATTAAAGCAGTATTTAATGCAATTTCCAGTTATGTCGTTGGAGAATTTTATGTCATCGTTGCATTACCCTGAATGTTGAGAAGATGTGATGTGTGTTGCTTGTTCATCAAAAATCAGTAAGCACAATAAAGTGGATGCCAAACCATCAAACACTTAGATGTTCCTGCTGTGTCCCTGGATATGTAATAAGCAAGTATAAAAAATAATTATAGTTTTGTTATAAATATAACTTATGAGAAAAAAAAATTTGATAGGAATAATACTGTATATTACTAATTTTTAACTATCCCTACTGGCAAACCTTATAACTCACAGAATTTTCTCATATACAGTATTCAGTGCACAGAAATCTTATGATTGGGTCAAGTACAGTAAGTTACTTCTAAGAAAAACTCTCAAGTCTGAGTCAATATTTGTAGCTCTCCTTTTGACTGTGTGTTCCTAGGATCAGGGCCGCTTATGCCTTTCATTCATCCTTGGAGTTTGAGAGCACTGTATTTTGGAGAGAGTTTAAAAATACAATAGGAGAGGGAAACCATTAAAAGTTTCACTGTCAGAGATATTGTAGGTGCTAATACTGGATTTCGTCTTTCCGATTTAATTTTATGCGTCTCTTAGTCATTCAATAAATCCTGTAAGTATGTGTAACATTTTAATTGTGTAAAACTTGTTTGTTACCTTACAGCCTGTAATAGTGTGTCTGCATTTTCAACCCGTTGCAATAACTTTGCTGAAATATTAACACATTAATAAAACTTTTCTTAAACAAAGTGTCTCTGTGTCATATTTGGTGGGATTTGGTGGTAAATGATGGTAAAGTGGTAAATGATAGGACACTAAATTTGGCAGATAATACTAGAATTGTAGTAGTGTAGTATTCAATGTGTCAGTGTTTTTAAATATCTTACATTTCTATGTCATACCTCTCAATTTCTTATGTTTTATCTTACAAGAGCTAGTATATTATAGGTAAAAACCAAGGAGTAGTCATTGGCAAAGCCTGAGTCCTGTCCTGCCGCTCTCCTCCCTGGATAGCATCAGCTTCACCACTCGCTCCACCTTCTCCACAAACTACCAGCAACAGGGCCAGCGTCAGTGCGGGTGCTAGGGACTCAGGCTCCCAAATCTCTGTGTCCTGCTCCACCGATTTCTGGGGTCTGGGGGCCTGGCCACAGGGATGGTCAGGGGTCTGGCAGGAATGGAGGGCATCCAGAATGAGAGGGAGACCATGCAAAGTCTGAACGCTTGCCTGGCCTCCTAACTAGACAGAGTGAGGAGTCTGGATACCAAGAACCAGAGGCTGAAGAGCAAAATTTGGGAGCACCTGGAGAAGGGACCCTAGGTCAGAGACTAGGGGCCATTACTTCAAAACCATTGAGGACCTGAGGGCTCAGATCTTCACAAATACTGTGGACGATATTCACATCATTCTGCAGATCTACAATGCATACTTTACTCCTGATGACTTCAGAGTCAAGTATGAGACAAAGCTGGCCGTGTGTCAGTCTATGGAGGGTGACATCCATAGGCTCCACAAGGTCATTGATGATACCAGTGTCACTCGGCTGCAGCAGGAGACAGAGATCAAGGCTGTCAAGGAGGAGCTGCTCTTCAAGGAGAAGAACCACAAAGAGGAAGTAAAAGGCCTACAAGCTCAGGTTGACCATGGAGGTAGATGCTCCCAAATCTCAGGACCTCGCCAAGATCATGGCCGATATCAGGGCCCAATACAATGAGCTGGCTAAGAAGAACCAACAAGAATGGACAAGTGCTGATCTCAGCAGATTGAGGAGAGCACCACAGTGGTCACCACGCAGTCCACCAAGGTCAAAGCTGCTGAGATCACATGGAGCTGAGACATATAGTCCAGTCCTTGGAGATCGACCTGGAGTCAATGAGAAATCTGAGGGCCCCCTTGGAGAACAGCCTGAGGGAGGTGGAGGCCTGCTATGCCCTGCAGATGGAGCAGCTCAACGGGATCCTGCTGCACCTCGAGTCAGAGCTGGCACAGACCTGGACTGAGGGACAGCACCAGGCCCAGGAGTACAAGACCCTACTGAACATCAAGGTCAAGCTGGAGGCTGAGATTGCCACCTACCGCCGCCTGCTGGAAGACAGTAAGGACTTCCATCTTGGTGATGCCCTGGACAGCAGCAATTCCATGCAAACCATCCAAAACCATCAACCGCCAGATAGTGGATGGCAAAGTGGTGTCTGAGACCAGCGACGCCGAAGTTACAAGACGGTAAGCCAGCAGAAACGGTACCCTTTGGGGAGCGAGAGCCAATAAAAAGTTTAGAGGTGGAGAAAAAAAAAGGGAATAGTCCATGGTAATTAAAAAATGTATATATTCTTTTGAGATGGAGTATCGCTTTTTGCCCAGGCTGGAGTGCAATGGCACCGTCTTGGTTCACGGCAACCTCTGCCTCCCAGGTTCAAGTGATTCTCTTGCCTTAGCCTCCCAAGTAGCCGGGATTACAGGCGCCCACCACCACACCTAGCTAATTTTTGCATTTTTGGTAAAAGTTGGGGTTTCACTGTGTTGGCCAAGCTGGTCCCGAATTCCTGACCTCAGGTGATCCACCCACCTTGGTCTCCCAAAGTGTGGGAATTGCAAGCATGAGCCACAGTGCCTGGCCTAAAAAATGTATTTAAAGAAATAAGTCATTGGCATGTTTCATTAGGAAAAAGGTGTCACAGTTATTGTTACTATCTTGGATCACCTGGTGACTCAGGTTTTTTTTTTTTTTAATTTTTATTTTTTTGGGCACATAGGTGTCTATATTCATGGTGTACATGAGATATTTTGATACAGCCATCCAATGCATAATAATTACATTATGTCAAATAGGCTACTCATCCCCTCAAACATTTATCCTTGTTACAAACACTCCAAATGCAGACTTTGTTTTTGTTTCTGTTTTGTTTTTTGAGATGGAGTTTAGCTCTTGTCACCCAGGCTGGAGTGCAGTGGTGCAATCTTTGCTCACTGCAACCTCTGCTTCCCAGGTTCAAGCAATTTTCCTGCCTCAGCCTCCTGAGTAGCTGGGATTACAGGTTTGCACCATCACGTCTGGCTAACTTTTGTATTTTTAGTAGAGATAGGGTTTTGCCATATTGGCCAGGCTGATCTCGAACTCCTGACCTCTAGTGATTCATCTGCTGTTGCCTCCCAAAGTGCTGCCATTATAGGCATGAGCCACCACACCCGGCCCAGACTCCATTTTTTTTTAATGGGGTAGATTTGTAGAAAATTAACAACTTAGAAGTTACAGTCTATATTCCAACTTTCTTTTATAAGCTTATTTTCCCATACAAAATGTTCAGTGTCTCTCCTTATCCAGTGAAACTCATCGTAGATAATATATACAACCAGGAGTCAAAAAAGAGGTCATAACACCTCAATTAAATTCCTTCCATATTCCACTTAGCCCTGGCTCCTAGCATAAGGTAAAGTTACAGTTTCCGAGGATTAACATGCTTTGTTTGTTGTTATTTGTTTTCATGTCAAAGGAGATCAGAGTGTTGGTGCCATATCTGATTTATGTACTTACCTCCCCTCCCAACAAAGGAGATTGCACATTCCATGAGGGCAGAGGTGGTTGCCTACCTACCTTTTCATCCACTGCATACTCCATGCATCCTCATACACAGTGCTACAGATACTTAGCTCTCACATATTTGTAAAGTGAATGAATGAATGAGAGGTGAGTTGACCCATCAGGTCATTAACATCAGAATAGAATTACTGTGTTACGCCTGGATTGGTGTGGTGTTAGTCTGGCTTTTGATAGGCAGTGATTTGTGTGCTCCCTTGGTAAAGTCTTCTGAAACTGAGAGGAGATTATCTGTGGCTTATCCTCCAATAGAGTGGACTTCTCCCTGGAGATAAGTACCTTGATAATTTCAATGCCCTTTAATTCTAGATTAGGAATTCCCAGGGAAAGGAAAAGAACTGCATCCAAACCTCTGAGTTGGGTAATGTAAATAATAAATAAGCCTCCTGTTCATGCTTTGTCTTTTATTATTCTCTGTGTAACGTTAAATCTAGCTATTCTTTTAACTTATTTAGTCGTCTGATAAAAGTTTATTTTCACTGTAATCTACTCCGGAGGCTGAGGCAAGAGAATCACTTGAACCCGGGAGGCAGAGGTTGCCGTGAGTCAATATCTCGCCACTGCACTCCAGCCTGGGCAACAAGAATGAAACTCCATCTCAAAAAAAAACAAAAAGTTTATTTTCAGGCAATTTCCACTTCAAAATTCTCTAAGAACCAAATAAAGCACAAGCAATACTTTGTACTCATTTGAGTTCTTGCTACTGAATTTCTCTATGTAAAATCGAAGTTACAATAACAATATGAAAAAGGTGCTTGTTACTCATTAGGTAAAATGAATCAAACAGGCTTGTTGTCTGACATCACCAGAGACTACTCTGTCGTGCAAATACCAACTGAAACAGGCCAGTCTTCGTCCTCATGTGTGCTTTCCAGAGGATAAACATTGATAGCTATAACCATTACACAGTGACCAGCTTTTAATGTATGAGGGTGTTAGTGTGAAGGATTTTATTCTCTTTCACCCCCAAGAGCTGGAATAAATGGCTTTATGATAGTACTCTCCGGTACTGTACTCAAAACTTGGAAATGTATAGAGAACAGAAAACATCTGATGAACATCCTATTTGCTGTAAATTGTTGGAAATGCCAAAATGGGGATTGTGGCCCACCTACATGCTAGGATTGTTAGGGGTACAGCAATACATGTATTTTGCTCCAAAATGAGTAGACACAGAATTACAGAACCAGAATAAAGACCTTAGCTCTCCTGAATTACATCCTAAGTTCTTCCCATATATGCATCTCAAATGCTGCAGATAAGAAGTTCTGTGAAATCCTGCCTATAACCAGGAAGCCCTGTGGGAACTTAACAACTACTCTTTACATTTTTGTTTATTTGTTTTGAAATGGAGTCTCACTCTGTTGCCAGGTTGGAGTGCAGTGGCACAATCTTGGCTCACTGCAACCTCCACCTCCTGGGTTCAAGTGATTCTCCTGCCTCAGCCTCCTAAGTAGCTGGGACTACAGGCGTGCACCACCATGCCCAGCTAATTTTTGTATTTTTAGTAGAGATGGGGTTTCACCATGTTAGCTAGGATGGTCTCGATTTCTTGACCTCGTGATCTGCCTGCCTCAGCCTCCTGAAGTGCTGATTACAGGCATGAGCCACCACACCCGGCCTACTCTTTATATTTTTAAGCCTCCACTTTGAAAAGAAAAATAATTTTTATAAGTTAGGCACTACCAAAGATCTTTGGTTAAGGGCTATTGTCAAGTGAAAACAAGTTTATGCTAGCAGGATGTTTTGGGTTTTTAAAAAATAATATCTGAGCAATAAAAGGATTTATTGGTCTAGTAACTTATCTAACTTTGTGCCGTCACATTTTACTTTGCTAGTGAAATCTTTAATCTTCAGAATTATAAACTATCTTTGAAGAAATTCTTTGTTTCACCCACAAAGAGTTCTTTTAAAAAAGAGAGAGAGACAGACCTAAAAATCCACCCATTCACTGCCATATCTGTTCTTGATCTTTGTTTCTGTTCATGTATATATTCTCTCACCTCATGTTTTAACAAACCAGTTTGCTGCCAGGAAATGATAATAATTTGTATTGAAAATGTTTTGGTAATGACTCTTCAGAGAGCAGCTGAGTGTCAAACAACATAACTAGAAGCTGAGATTCTGGGATGCTGCAAGGACTAAGAAACATGGATGTGATCTTTCCTCCCAGCAAAAGGATTCGTGTGCACGACCTGCACATCTTTGTTTACCTCATAAAATCTATAAATGTTTTTACTTAGTCCAGTTTCTACTTTCTTAGATGTTTGAAGGATTATGTGCTTGAAAATCAACATCTGTGGCCAGGCGCGGTGGCTCACGCCTATAATCCCAGCACTTTGGGAAGCCAAGGTGGGCTAAGCATTTGAGGTCAGGAGTTCAAGACCAGCCTGGCCAATATGGTGAAACCCCATTTCTATTAAAAATACGAAAATTAGCTGAGTATGGTGGTGCATGCCTGTGATCCCAGCTACTTGGGAGGCCAAGGGAGGAGAATTGCTTGAACCCAGGAGGCAGAGGCTGCAGTGAGCCAAGATCGCGTCACTTAACTCTAGCCTGAGTGACAGAGCAAGACTCCTCAAAACAAAAACAAAAAATTAGGGGTTCACACCTGTAATCCCAGCACTTTGAGAGGCCAAGGTGGGTGGATTACTTGACCCCAGAAGTTGAGAACAGCCTGGGCAACAGTGAAACCCTGTCTCTACAAAAAATATAAAAATTAACTGGGCCCATGCCTGTGGTCCCAGCTACTTGTGGGGCTGAGGTGGGAGGATCGCTTGAGCCTGAGAGGTCGAGGCTGCAGTGAGCTGAGATCATGCCACTGCACTCCAGCCTGGGTGACAGTGTAAGACCCTGTCTTGAAAACAGCAACAACACACACACACACACACAATTAGGAAAGACCAAACACCATGTTTTTGGGCATTTTTAATACTGCAGAAAAGATCTTCACTTAATATTTATTGACATGGAGGAACTATTTCAGGATAGGAAAAATCACCTTTTAAGGTGATTACTTAAAAGTAACTTAAAAGTACTTTTAAGTATTTTAACTTAAAAGTACTTTTAAGTATTTTTACTTAAAAGTAACCAGAAACTCCACAGCAGCCATCTGACAACAGAAACTTCACCAGCCCCTGCCAGCAAGAGTAAAATAATCAGATCCCTGATAGGGACTCCCTGAGAAATTCTGAAGAAACTCGCTTGTGACTGTTGTTTTCTATTCCCCAGTGCTGTATAAATTTTGAAGTGACCACAAGTTTTCCTTTAAGGAAACGTGTGTTGCCAGAGTAATACACAGCTGCATGTTACCTTCATGCAGCAGTTAAGACAGCAAGTAAAGATGCCTCTGAGACCAAAGCCAGCATTTAGGCTCAGAGGATAAAATTTGATCTGACCATTCATTTAACAGATAAACTTGACTGGACTCAGTGGCTCACGCCTGTAATCCCAGCATTTTGGGAGGCCAAGGCAGGCGGATCACAAGATCAGGAGTTCGAGACCAGCCTGGCCAAAATGGTGAATTCTCATCTCTACTAAAAATATCAAAAAAAAAAAAAAATTAGCCAGGCATGGTGGCAGGCACCTGTAATCCCAGCTACTCGAGAGGCTGAGGCAGGAGAATCACTTGAACCCAGGAATTCGGACATTGCAGTGAGCCGAGATCGCACCACTGCACTCCAGCCTGGACAACAAGAGCAAGACTCCATCTAAAAAAAAAAAAAAAAACAGATAAGCTTAGTAAAAATTGAGAAAAATATTTGCCTGGCAATCCAGGTCCCAACAAGGTTTTCCATGGAACTTGACATGCTGGTTCTAGAAAAGGTGAAGAGACATGCTCTGTATCTAGCAAGACATAAAGCTGTAGCAGCTGAATGCAGTAGTCTCATTGGTGCAAGAGTAGGCTCACAGATGATGGAACAGAAGAGCAAACTGCATGCAGACCTCAGCACGCATTCATGGTGTTCTGAAGCATCTCCTTTTGTCTCTCATGTCTTTTTTCCTTCCCTGTGCTTCTTATGTTCTAGAAGACTAATCTGAGCAGGCTGCATCAACCTGGCTCCCTTGTCCTGTGGCTTCTGGTAGGGTTCAGGGAAGGGAACTATCAGCAGTGGACCAGAGCGTGGGACACTGCGTCATGGGAGTGGCTATTTAGACAGCTGCTTAGGGATCTGGAAAGACACAACTGTAGGCTGGCAAGGAAGAGGAGAGGAACCCTATGTGGATGGACCTCTAGAAGTGGGCATAGAAGGTGAAGAAATTCATATGCCATGTATGCCCACTGCATAGCATGCCCGTAGCGAGGTTCTTACTGCAGGAAAGGAAGTGGAAAGTCCTCTGATATCAGTCAGCCTCTTTCCCAGCCTTTCTGGGGCTGGCTCAGTGGGTCCATGTGAAAAGATGGACACAGCAAGGATGAAGCCTGCACGGGGCTCTGCAACGTGGGCTTCCTACCATCATGGCTGACCTGGCCGCTGCTACTGCTGGGAGCCCAGCTGGCCAATGGAGAGCCATGCTAAGCCCACAGTGTGGCATCATTTTCCAGGAGGGAGTTTTGGTTATATATTTTAATTACTGAATGTGTTATGTATAAAATTGTTCTTTTGGTGCTGCAAAGAAAATTTGTACTGGGACAAAGTATCTCTCAGCAAAGCAATTCTTTTTACTTCCTGCAGAAAGGGTACTCCCATTAGCAATCTTGCCACAAGAGTACAATGAACAAAGGAAAACAGACAAATTTATCCCTTATACATTTGCGGTCATCCTTACTGCTATATCTGATCTCCGTTGGCTGAAACCAGACCTCACAATCTAAACTAAAATTTGATTGGCTAATAACTTAAAACTTTTCTAAACAGGTAAAAGCAATGGAGTGCTGGGGACGTGAGTTTGAGCGCGTCCAGCACAGATATCTTGGCTAAAGCACAAGGGTTAAAGCACTACGTGACTATAAGCATGGCATGTCTAACAGCCACACAGGATAGGGCTTAACAAAGTTATTAGCACACTTGCTCTTTAACAAGAAAGGAAACTCTAAAAAGGAACTTTTCTACTTCCCACAGAATGATACTTAAGGAGATAATGGAACTCTTTTTTTTTTTTTTTTTTTAAGCAGAGTGACAAGAGCAATCAGTTTTTGTCCAGGGGCAGGGGAAGAACTATCCTCAACAAATAAATATAGAGACAAAAATAAACTTGTTTTATGAGCACGTGTCCTGAGTTATGCTAATTGATGCCATGAGTACACACACACAGAGCTCATATTACCATATTATGTTGGGATACATACTTGGTCAAATTTAAAAACATTTCTGGAAACAGGCCAGGCACAGTAGCTCACACCTGGAATCCCAGCATGTTGGGAGGCTGAGGTAGGAGGATCAGTGAGGCCACGAGTTTGAGACCAACCTGGGCAACATAGTGAAACAAAAAACAAATTAGCAGCCGGGCACGGTGGCTCACACCTGTAATCCCAGCTCTTTGGGAGGCCGAGGCAGGCAAATCACGAGGTCAGGGGTTCAGGACCAGCCTGGTCAACATGATGAAACCTTGTCTCTACTAAAAATACAAAAATTGGTTGGGTGTGATGATGTGAACCTGTAAGCCCAGCTACTCGGGAGGCTGTGGCAGGAGAGGTTTGATCCCAGGAGGTAGAGATTGCAGAGAGCCAAATTCATGCCATTGCACTCCAGCCTGGGTGACAGGGTGAGACTCCACTTCAAAAAAAGCCCAAAAAAACAAATTACACAGTCATGGTGGTGCACACCGGAGTCCCAGCTACTCAGGACAGTGAAGCCGGAGGATTACTTAAGCCCAGGAGGTCAAGGCTGCAGTGAGCTGTGGTTGCACTCTGGCCTGGTGACAGAATGAGACCCTGTCTCTATTAAAAACAAAACAAAACAAAACAAAAATACTATTTATAAGACCAATAAGCACCACATCGAGGATACTGGTTACATCTAGAGAGTGAGGAACAGGAATGAGGTCAGAAACAGGAGTGAAACACATTTAGATTGAGTTCGTGGTGTTAAAAGGCTTCTTAACATTCGTGCTTTTTCAAATGCCTAAAAAGAACCAACAACTTGCACTTGTCAGTATGTATTACCATATCCTAAATATTATGCACACCAGTTAATATCTTCGGTGTTCTGATTGGCTTTGATCATGTGGATGCAATAACCACCACCCCCTAGGACTCCACTCAGGTCTCCAGCCTCAGTTTCTTCTAAGCCTCCAGGCCTGCTCAGCTCATTGATTCCATTGATTGTCAATAGGGACTAGCCTCTGAGCCCCCCAGTTCTAATTATAACCCCCCCAAAAAGGTGGAAAATGTGAAAAAGTGGCTTTTTCTTGCTTACAAGTATATGAGTAGGCATCTAAAATAAATGAATTAAACTTCCAGCCTAGAAGCAGCCTATAGCCAAGGGTAAAGTTCAGAGTCAAGCTGAATTTCTCACTGAAAGTAAACATGTTTAAGATAAAGCAAAGAGGAAGGGACTAGGAAAGCATGATCTCGCTTCACAGAGAGAAGTCAAAGGCAACAGCAGCCCTTACAGCTCCACGGGCCACATTCATTCAAATCTTACGGATTACAATGCGTTAGCAGCTCAGAGCATGACAGCTGTTCACAGCAAGATCAGCAATAACAGACCAAATAACCCAAAGCTTCTGGTTCTTATCTCAAAAAATGAGTTAGCAGTGCGATACTCAGATAGTGGTATGTGGCATGGAACATAATCGTCCTGTTCTCCGGCCTTCTGAGAAATAGAGGGTGAAAGTCGAACTCAATTAAGGTATTTATTTTTACCAGTGAGAAACCTGTGTTTCAGTGAAGAAACCTGTCATAACCCACAAGTTTTTAAGATGTCACAAATTTAAAATTTCACAGTTTTCTCCTGTTAGGCCTCTGTTTCTTTTTTGTTGTTGTTGTTTGTTTGTTTGTTTGTTTTTGAGACAGTCTTGCTTTGCTGCCCATACTGGAGCGCAATGGCACCATCTTGGCTCACTGCACCCTCCGACTCCCAGATTCAAGGGATTCTCCTGCCTCAGCCTCCTGAGTAGCTGAGATTACAGATGCCAGCCACCATACCTGTCTAATTTTTGTATTTTCAGTAGAGATGGGGTTTCACCATGTAGGCCAGGCTGGTCTCAAACTCCTGACTTCAGGCAATCAGCCCATCTCAGCCTCCCAAAGTTCTGGGATTACAGGCGTGAGCCACCACACTCAGCCTAGGCCTCTTACTCCTTATGATTTCAAATATTGACATCTTAAGAGGTGTATAATTCATAGACACTACATGTAGAAGGAAAATGATGACAACAATTATAATTATAATTCCATCTTTGTAACACTAATTAAAAAGCTTAGAACTTAAGAATAATTTTATTTTATTTTTTTGAGACTCCTCTGTTGCCCAGGCTGGAGTGCAGTGGTGCAATCTCAGCTCACTGCAGCCTCTGCCTCCCAGGTTGAAGCAATTCTCGTGCCTCATCCTCCTAAGTAGCTGGGATTACAGGCATGTACCACCACGTTCAGAGGTCAAAAAAAAATAATAAAGGAATCATCCATGGTAATTAAAAAAATGTATATATTCTAAAGTTCTCAAAAAGCTGGGCACAATGGCTCATTCCTGTAATCCCAGCACTTTTGGGGGCTGATGGGGGCAGATCACTTGAGGTCAGGAGTTCAAGACCAGCTGGCCAACATCACGAAGCCCTGTCTCTACTAAAAATACAAAAATTAGCCAGGCATGATGGCAGGCACCTGTAATCCCAGCTATTTGGGAGGCTGAGGCATAAGAAACGCTTGAACCAAAGAGGTGGAGGCTGCAGTGAGCCAAGATCATGCCACTGCACTCCAGCCTGGGTGACAGCAAGAACTTAGCTCAAAAATAAATAAACAAATAAAACTTTAAGAAATTTTTTAAAAATTCTCAAAATGGTGCCCATGTCTATGATTCATGAACACACACAAAAAGAAAGACATTAAAATTAAAGACAATAGTGAAAGTTTGATATGGCGCATGTTCTTGAGCAAGGCTGCCCTTTAGCCTTTACTTTGACTATAATCAGACCTTTTCCTATCACTACAGGAAAAAAGAGCAACTACACATTGCCCTAAGCTGCAAGCATTTAGAAATACTGAGTTTGGGCCAGGTGCAGTGGTTCGTGTCTGTAATCCCAAACACTTAGGAGGCTCACGCAGGAGGATCACTTGAGGCCAGGAGACTTCAAGACCTGCCTGAACAACAAAGTGAGACCCCGTCTCCACAAAAAATTTTTAAAAATTAGCCCGACATGGTGGCGCACTCCTGTGGCCCCAGCTACTTGGAAGGCTGAGGTGGAAAGATTGCTTGAGCCCAGGAAATTAAGGCTGCAGTAAGCCATGATTGTGCCACTGCACTCCAGCGAGAGAGAGAGAGAGAGAGAGAGAGATTGAGTTTGGCCTGGCTTTTATTTAGACCTTAGGATGAGCCCCTGAAGTTCTCTCAAGTAAACTCTATGGACTATAATAAATCTGCAGACTTGCCCAGCACTTAGGCACATATGCATCTCATCAAAGATGCCCATGATGTAAAGGCACTTGAATTTCTTTATGGAAAGGTCACCTTTCTCTTGGCTTGACATATTCAGAAAACCATTAGGAAAATAATCTTATTCAATCTGCTAAATGCTATGTTGGCCAGTGTTTCAAATGAT